CACCTAACAGTAATAAATTTCTTAAGGTCTTTATGTATTGTAACAACTGTATGTACCAACACTTGCAAATAAACTTTTGACTTATTCATTTATTATGTAACAATCAGAATTATTTGAAAGTATATAAATGAGTATAGAATAGTTAATTACCATCATGGCAAATTACCTGTCAATAACAAATTGTATCCCGCGACTTCGCCCGTGTATATTATAGCCTATAATTCGCGTATGGTGTAGGTGAATAATGTTTAAAATCAATCTAGTAATTTCCGAAATTATACGAACCTATTCAATACGAACAAACAATCAAATCTTTCCTCTTTATAATATTAGTATAGATTTATTATATATGTAAAATCTAAAAAATATATCTGTTTCAGCTCCACGGCGCCGAAGGCGGCCTATTTTAACAGGCTCGCCACCATCGCAACGCAGATAGCAGTTCACTAGTATTACTGAAAAATTTTTGCGGTTGGAACTGCGACTTCGGCAGAGCAGCCGAAACACTGAAGTGCTACAGTCTATAACTGAGATTGCTGCAAAGCAAACTAAAGCATTATCTGCTATTGCTCAGGGGTTGAATGCCATTGGGGAAGGATTAAAAATGTTAGCGGAGTCTAATAAAAAATAAAACTCATTTAAGAAAAATATGATATTTTATTACTAAGATAAATTGCGAGCACGCCACAAATTATTATTAATAACGTCTTGTCTCCTTAACTGACCTATTATATTTTCGCTTTGAGAGATTTCCATAGAGGTATTTGTTCTAGATCCCATAGCCCAACGGAAACTAGCCGAAACACTGAACTGCTACAGTCTATAACCGAGATTGCTGCAAAGCAAACTAAAGCATTATCTGCTATTGCTCAGGGGTTGAATGCCATTGGGGAAGGATTAAAAATGTTAGCGGAGTCTAATAAAAAATAAAACTCATTTAAGAAAAATATGATATTTTATTACTAAGATAAATTGCGAACACGCCACAAATTATTATTAAGAAGGTCTTGTCTCCTTAACTTACCAATTATATTTTCGCTTTGAGAGATTCCCATAGAGAGATCTGTTCTAGATCCCATAGCCCAACGGAAACTAGCCTCCCTCTCTTCATCATATCTGTTGAGTGTAGGGGCAGGTAGTCCTGCTCGATTGCAAATATAGGACAGCATGCTATCACTATTTTAGTAGGGTCGTAGTGACGCACTCTATGAACCAGTAAACACCTGAATCTTCCTTTCAGCATGCCTATGGTTCTTTCCACGGTGTTGCGCATTGTGGCACATAATTATTTACAATGTTCTTCAGGGGTTCCCTCCTCAGCATTAGGCACAAGAGTCATTAAATATGACCGTTGTGCATATCCAGAGTCCCCTAAAATAATCTTGTATTAATATCTATACTAATAAAAAATATAAAATATAGTCTGAATCAAACAAACTTACCAAGTAAATAAACATTTACATGATTATTTATCGGCTCTTCTTGGTGTGTTTTTATTGCTGAATTATTAAAAATAAAACTACCATGTGTTGCCCCCCATATGTTAAGTGTAAAATGTTAAGATCTGCATCATTTATCTAAAATGTTAATGAAAAATTATTATACACATTTATTTATCTAACCTTTTTTCTTGAGTATCTGTACCAAGTACCAAGATATAGCAACAATGCATTCTCTACCAATGATAGGAATCCTATGATAATACGAATCAAAAGATAGAATTTTAGATTAATTGCAAAATCTAACCAAAAGGATATTCCTTGCATGGTTTCCTTTACGGCAATAGTACCGCTCTTCATTTTCTGTGGGCCTAACCATGGTAACAAATGTGCCATCTATGCATCCAATCATGCCTGGGATTTTGAATTTTTCATAAAACATGTAAATTGAAATATTTCAATAGATTAATATACTGCAATTGTATTGTAAAAGTAAGTATTGGTAACTTTTTCATTTCATTTATTTTTAGTGGTAAATTTATGTGTATTAATTATAGAATTTCTTTTAAATGTAGCACTTTGGTATATAAGTATTGGCATCAATACAAAATATTGTATAAAAATACTTGGGCGGGTACAAAACTAATTACCGATATAAAGTATTTTACAAACCTTTCTTTTAATTGTTGTCTTTCGTATAGGTTTTGAGGGAACCTTATGTATTTTTTTACGACAGTTGGATGGCATAAAATCTCCACAATCCCACGGATACATCGAAATGCTGACGGTTGGGATAAAAATGTATTAACATTTCTCCCCAGTATTTTCTGGTAACTGCCACTGGCCAGAAACGATAAAGTGTACAGCAACTGAAATATAAAAACCTTAGATTATAGTATAATGTGTACTCATAATCTAAGCATAAAACTTAGATATTAAGTCATCACAGAGACATGAAAAATTTAACAATATCGGCGCTTAAGAACCAAGACCATCTATCTACAAAAAGTCGATTTTACAGGAGACGAAAAAAACGTTTCATTTTTTTTCTAAAACAAGTTTCTTCATTTTTATATCTGATCATTCAGTGGACAGACATGGGAAATAAGGTGTTTACATGTATTTCAAGAAATCTTCAGTAATTTCAAAATTACTGTAGATAGCTGGTATTAGTTAAAATATTTGAGTAAGTTTATGCAGCTAACTGTGATACAGATGGTATTGGCAAATGAAAAAGACTTTAATCAAACAAAAAACTCTTACTTTTACTAAATTTTAAACAAAAAAAAAAAAGATTTTTATCATTTAGGCAAAATTAAATGTGTGGTACAGACAGATTCAAACTTTATGACTTCTCTGAACTTAGCCGCAAGTGCAGATGCGCGCAGGTACAGTCAAGTAAATAAACATAGATATGGACATAGCATCAAAGAAGTATCAAAAACTTATCACGGGATCATAGAGTTCCAGATACATGTTTTGATGCTTTACCCGTATCCATTTTATACACTTGAGTGCACAGTCAAAAAAAAAACAAAACTGTTACTACATTTTCATGTTATTTATTGAATTAAAATTTGGTACATATGTATCACTTTTTGTGGTTAAAACACAGATGAGATATGAAATAAAAAATAAAAATAAATGAATTTTGCAACAGTGACATTATAGGGGGCTTAAATACAATGAAAAAACTTGCGAAACACTGTTCATGCGAGTTCAATTCGCACTTAACCGGTATATTTGTTTTATTCTAATGGCTCTATTCCCTCCATCGTCATTTCTCTACTCGTGGAAGGTTCGTCATCCATAGAACTCTCACTTTCCTCGTCTTCACTTGAATCGGACTCGGTATCCGATTCACTAAGGTGAATCACCAACTCTTCTGTCAATCCGTCGATGACCACGTCACTTTTTCGATATCTTTGACTGTTTGGCACAGTGCCCGCCATTCAGTTTCACCCATTTGATTCACCTTTTCTTTTACAAGCTGCATAACAGCATTAATGTTCCAAGTAACATTTTTCTTTGCCACATGCTGTTTAATGGCTGCCCATGCCATTTCGATGGGATTAAGGTCAGGGTGGTAGGGTGGAAGTCGCAAAACATCGTGATTATTTTGTTTTAATATTTTGTCAATGCTGAATGTCTTAAAGCATTCTTTATTTTGCTTAATAAGCTTGAATAATTGCGGCTTCAACATGGTTTCCTCGAAGGAAATGTTTTTTTCTTGAAGCCACTTTTGCATTTCAGCTTTTTTTGAGTTGGAAGTTGGCGCTGGTTCCTCCTGTTTGTTGTGGTATGAAGCATTGTCTACCACGACAACCGAATTAGGGGGCAAATTTGGAACGAGAAGAGTCTTTACCCACTTTTCATAGTTGGTGAAATTCATGTTATCGTGGTAATCGCCACTTTTTGTACCAGCCTTAAACATGAGTAATGCATTTGGTACGAAACCTGCTTCTGACCCCGCGTGCACGATGACCACACGTTGTCCTTTTGATATTTTAGTTTTCAATCCCATCACAGACCCATCACTCCAGGACTTAGATAAGCTGTGTGAGCTATCAACATATGACTCGTCGGTATATACAATTGGTCGTCCCTCCGAGCGGTATCTATTGATTTTTTGTAGGTATTCTATGCGTTGCAATCTAATGTTTGACTGTTCAATCAAAACCTTTCTTTCATTTTGAGCTTTTTTCCAGGTGAACCCTAATTCTTTCAATATTCGTCCTAAACTTGTTTCAGATCCGTTGAAATTTATGTCCGCTTTTAATTTCTTTTTTAACTGCTTTAAAGTTGGTAATTCTTTTTCAGTCACGTGAAAGTTATGTACGCATCTCTTGATAACTCCTTGATCGAAGTTGTCAATGCCGGTGACACGTTTTTTTCCTGCCCTTTTTTTTCCAGGTGTACGAAAAACTGCTAACATGCCAGACTTCTGAGCTGCTGCCGATATCCTTTGCACGGTACTTAAAGAAACACCTGTAGCTAGCGCCGTTCTTCGAAGCACACAATTCAGCGGAACTTGAACACCTTCTTCACTTTCCTTTTTCATAAACTGCATTACGGTATATACCATTTTTCTTGCTTGACGACGTAGAACGTTAAAACGCCCACGTGGCATGGTTGTTCACCAATACAACAACAAATAACAAAGTGAAAAACGTAACGAGAATAACAATAAAACTTAACAATACAAAAAAATAACAAAAACGTAATTAAGAAACAACAATATTTTTTTCTCGACTGTACTTTCTAAGCAGCGCGCGCGTGTGTGTAGTGTTGAGACGTGGCTAACACTACTCTTACAAGTTCAAGCGGCAACTGCGGGTGCGCGTGTGAAGCGTGGGGGGTGGGGCTCCTTCGTCGCGCTCCTGTACGTCCCGCTGACACCTTAAATCGTGTTCTCTGCATGGTTTTGCGGCTAACTTCCGAATATTCATAAAGTTTGAATCTGTCTGTAACGAATCATAAAACGGGTGACAATCCTTTGGTAGCACATCTTTTAATTGTTGAAGATGGTTGTATTTTGTTGATGAAATTGGTAGTGGACTTTTATGTAGTATCAATTTTGTACCGTCTTTGAGGCAAAGCCATCCAATCCTCATCAAAGTTTAGTTTTATGAGGATGTCACCATTTGGTTTGTATTTCATGGCACGCAGGTCTGTTACAACAGGATCACCAGCTTTATATCCTGGTCTAATACTTTTATATAAAAAAGTAGAAGAATCTGCATAATTTTTAAAGAAACTGTAGTCAACTTCAACTACCTCATATTGCTCTTTAATGCGAGCTTCTTTAGTTACAGACACATAATCACTCGGAAGATGAATTTCCCTGTTTTTGAGCTTTCGCTTAATGGCACTGTGAACCGAGTCATATTCCATTTGTGTGTGACCCGGTTCTAAATACTTATGAGTTATGGTGACATTGTACTTGATGCTAAAATTTAGAAGACCATTAGACAGAATAGTGTTTCGATTCTGGTATGTGCAACTATCTGAATATATAACAATAGGTAACTGTTTGGGCAGACAATGAATTTCCAAATAATCTATAACAAACGAAACAAATGTGCTAGCTGTTAAATCACTTGCTGTTTCGGTAAACCAGTAACATTTGCAATGCTTTATAGCTGGGTTGAAGATGGTAAAGTTGTGGCAAGTCAATTTTGTCTTAAAATAGAGAGCACTTGCCGTTAAATATGGACGAATATTGATATCTCTTATAGAGATAAGCCCACCCTTGTAACTAATTTATTTACTTGTTTCTATGTAAAATTTTGAGTGCAATAAAGAGTAAACTAAACAAACTTTAACCGCTTCCAAGTCCATAGTGACTAGTATGAGTTTTCCAGATACAGCAAGTTTTTTGTCCGCCTCCTTTTCTTGTCGTGCTCGATTTTTTTTCAAAATGTGCAATTGGAAAGTATGCTCATCATAATTTCCAGTTTGGTAACTAGCGCATGTGTCACACATGTCCTTTTTTAATACGTAAAACGCCAAATTTTTTTTATTGTATTCCTTGTCAAATGTAAATCTGCTAACTGTAGGCTCTTCATTTTCTGTGCAATATTTTTTTTAAATTCTATATAAATCTCATTGAATGGTAAATGGGTTCCAGATATAATTTTGTCGTTACTTTTCTTGCATAATGGAATGGTAATTTAGGAAGATTGTCAAAAAAATTACGCAAGGTTATGGTTTTCCTGTCCACATTACTATTTGCTCTTGAATTACGGACACTTTGACTAGGCACCGTTGCAAATTCTGCTCGTTTTACCCAAGACTGCACGGCAGTAGAACAAAGCGATAAGGTACTTAAAAACATTTCTTTGCAAACCTGGACTTTCATGTCTGATTCTATCGGCAAATAATAATGAAATGTGCCTTCTCGTCGTGAAGTTTCTGAGGCAGATTTTGTATAGCGGGAATGAGCAGAGCGCGTGACCAGACCAGCAACATAAACTCTACGTTGATCCCAGTTCATCGTTTTCCAAAATTTATCATGCTTCGATTTTCTAGTCTCCTCTTCGAACCTTTGGCAACCTCTCAACTTACTCTTTTGACAAAAACTTGATGTGCATGGTGGTCCCATCATTTTTGCAGTACGAACTTGATCTTGTATGGCTTTGCATCCTTTAGGTTTCCTATATCCAACATATTCTTCACCACGCATGCGAAGTGTTTTAGCTTTGTTTTTTTCCAAGAATTTTCATCTCGGACATGACGCCGCTTTCGTCCTTCATTCATATCTCCAAAATCGTGAGATAAACCTTCTCCATACTCATTTTCACAATAAGTCACATCGATGTCTTCGCTAGGACAGTGGAGAGATGAATGAATAGAAGGACCTTTAGAAACAGGAGCATCAAAATAAAAATGGCTTAAGACGGAGTTGATAGACTTCTCATTCTGTTAAAAGCTTTTTGTTCTTGGGTGTCAGAAATTAAATCTGATAAAGAAACGTGTTTCTTCAAAAAACCATTCGAGATCATACATTTCTTAGAGTTATCGTTAATTAGTGACAGCAGTCCAATTTGCATACTACTCGAGATAGTTTCATTAAAAGATTTGAAATTATCACTTTCAATCTTCTGGAAATTGTTATTCAGTTTTTGTGTTGAACTACGAACTTCATCTGAAAATCAAAATTTCCATCACAATCTACTCACACAACGTCACGAAGTTCGTCATATTTTATTACAGATAACTATTTAGAAACTATTAGTCAAAGAAATCATAACTAAAAGGTGCATTAGCTTTCTAAATTATGATATTTCTGTATGTGAAGTGCTAAGTGTATAGATCACTTAGTATCTGGTACAGAGGCAGGGCAATGTAAAGTACGAAAAAATCGTAACACATATTATAGATGTTTTTGAATAATTTAAAATTGACGAAAAACTTATTCTTAATAAAAAAAAATGGACTAAACCGCTCAGAATGCAAAATCATGAAACGCGGCGTCATATCTCAGAAGTTGGTTTAAAAAAGAGCACCGTAATGATTATTGAAGCTTATTTATTAATAAATTATAAAAAATAGTCAGACTTAAATTTAATAGAACAAACATATTCAACATTGCTGGATGTTTGTTTCGCGACGCTGAACTCCACGTTATGTGTACCCTTACTACCTACTTCAATATACTGTAAATATCAAGGTTCAGAAACCTCTTGCAAATTTAGTCACGACCTCCGTCTATTTTAGATAGGCACCTAAGGTAAAAAAATTCTGCCAAAACTTGGACCAATAAAATAGGAATTTAGTTAACAAACATAATTTTGACTCACTGAAAATAACATTTAGGGAGTTTTTATCGTCTTCATTTATTTCCGCTAAAATTCGACGAGCCCTCCATCCTTGGTAGATTCTCGACATTTTAACTATAATCGAAATATAAAAAAAAAATATAAACGAAAAAGTATTATTAAAAAATGTGATGACTTACTTACCTTTCAAGTCTATTTTCTTTGAATTTCGCCTAACTAGCCACTAATTACACCGTCACAAAAATAAGATATCACATTTTACACGCAACACGTTAGCACCTGTTGAAAAAATTTCGCAACCCTTCTCTTTCTGAAATTGTTATGTTGCACTCTAACGCATAACGGTTCACTTCGCAACTCGCAATAAGAGTGAGTAAACACGTGTTCTGTGTAGATAGGTGATATTTCCATAAATTTATGATAATAAATTTGCTTAGTTGGTATTGGTATTTTCTCATAACTCCTTAATTATTGCGAATTTGAGGAAATCGATGGAAACGATGCATAAATAAACCATTAAAACAACTGCATTAAAAAGTCAAAATCGCCAAAAGTGTAGATAGAGATGGTCTTGGTTCTTAAGCGTCGATATCATCATTTTAAAGAACTTGATTTACCTTTAGTCTCGTTGAAAGGTATCTACGTGATCTTCGCGTTGCTTGTACCATCAATGGCTGGCATCATATTTCTGATAGGAGACTCTCAATCATCTTCTCTGATAAGCGGTATATAGCCACATAGTCCATATTTCGCGTAAACAATTTATTAAAAATAAAGAATATTATAAATTGAAAAAAAAAATTATGCATGCTTCGAAAGATATGATATTATGTGTAGGGCAATATGTTTCTCTTATAAATAAATATCTAGAGAAAAATGGAAACAAAACAGATTTAAAATATAATATTGGGAAATATGATAGATGTGAAGTATCTTTTTAAGAACATGTCAAGAACATGAAGATGAAAATCTTAAAAATATAATTAACAGTGTTTTTGCAATCTGTATAAAAAGATTTTGTATTATAAGAAATCAACATTTTAAGGGTGAAGCTTCTGCATCTGCTCTTAAACGAAAAATCAATATTTTAATGCACAAATAAAACAATCATTGATTTTGTGATTACAATAGGTTCATACAAAAGTCAAAAATCATAATATCAACACCACCAGAGTACTTTTACTGCACTTATTTTCAATAATTTAAGATTTTTGATTTGAGATTAAGATCTTAAATTTTGATCTTGTGAGTTAGTAATTTAATATAATTTGATATACCAGGAGCCACAACATGACCGACACAACCGAAAGTTTTAAGTTAGCAAACGTGCAAACGTTCATTTTATTTGACAAATATTTCAAAATGGAGAAGGTGTAAAAATGGAGTTAAAATTTTAAATTTTTAAGTGTTGACAGCCCCATAACGCGCATGCGTTATTTAATTTAATTATTTACCGACACCTTAATGATAGTCGATATTGAAAATATCCACTTCCTCTCTGAAGACTGAGCTAAGCACGCTCTTTGGCATCCGGTGCATGCATGTGCAAAACACATCACATTTCACACAAAACTAAACACAATCTTCATTAAACTAAACTTGAACACTCTAAACGAACACTGTAGTATCCTATTGAGAGTTTTACTTACGATACTTACGATTACAAGGCACTTGGCGTTACGTTGAATGTGAATCAAAATATATGACACCGGCTAGTCGAGTTAAAATCTACACTAGAACTATTGCCTCCCCAAAACACTATTAAACTGCACTTATTCTCAATCACTTATTAACTTCGCTTTGTTTTTTCGCAATTATGTCTTTCTGTTGACACTTCACTCAAATTAAAACCGAACTGTCGGTCGCTGCGGTGTATGCATACGACTCTGGAAGCTTTGTGTATCTACCTACGCGAGCAATCGGGAATTCGGGACTATTGCTATCTCGCTTGCTCACACCGCGCTAGAAAATTCTTGATTTCTCAACTATTTTGAACCTTATATAAAGGCGGCAAGCGTTATTACTTGACTTAGCAGTTTTGGGCGCTATATTCAAATATCGCGCGCGCGAGATTCAAATTACTTTTCAAACATATTTTTTTTTTTGGTTTTATTCTAGAATAGAATTCAATATTTTTCGAATGTACGAGAGTATTATTTTTGCTGTCGGCGGGCCACCAATATTCGACCGGCGGGACGCATGCGGCCCGCGAGCCGCGGTCTGTGTATCCATGCGTTATTCCACTAATCTCGTGCTTTTTCAATAGGTGTGGCACGGAGACAGTGTCAAAAGCCTTCGCCAAATCAAGGAAAATAAACGATGTTTTTTTTCTTATTAAGTTCAGTTTTTACCAAATTTGTGAATCCGAGCACTGCGTCTTTGGTTGATTTTGCCGGTCGTAAGCTGAACTGCGAATGCGATAGATTTTTTTTATTCCAAATATTCAGATTGCTGTTTTTTCATTATATGTAACATAAATAATAAAGATATTACCTACTTATTGAAAAGTATATTTATTTTACGCCTATGTGCGGCTTTGAAAGTATCTTCTGGGAAAAGCCTATTTTCAGTCAAAAAAAAAATAATTAACGCATATAATAAATACGCTTTTTAGTATTGAAATTACAGTGCCCTGTTTGTGTTAAGGGCATTGTGCAAGAAAATCAAAATTCATAGATTCTTGAAGCTTTTTTAATTATATTTTTCTTTAAACCAATAATATGTGAATTTTCTGTCAAGTATTCGTTTGTTATTGTTGCGCAACACTCAACACACGTCACCATTTCCATACTTACATAATTTAAACCTTTTTTGTAGTCTGAATATTCTTTAAATTGTGTAAATACATGGTGTAGTTCTACATCTATTGCTAAAAATATATCTTTACACAAACTACAAGATAGATCAATATATTTTAGCATAGATCCACACACATAAACACTAGCTTGTATTCCTTCATTTTCAATTTGTTCATCATTTTGTATTACCAGCTGATTAATAACATTGTTTGCTCCACTACTTGATATTGTAGGTGGTTACGAGACTGATAACGGTATCTAAGAATTGATAATGGCATTATTATTGTCAGCTTCAGTTTCCTACGTTTCCCATATGGGGCAAATTCACTATGACAGTAGTTTTCAAGTCAGCTACAAATTGTCCTATTGGTGGGTTGGTGTTTGAACCGCAGTTCCCACGAATGCAGCCAAAAAGATTTTTAGGGGACCCTGCAATCTTCTGGTTGCAAGGATTTTTATTTTTGTGTTACTTTTCATCATTTCAAACAGATGTTGGACACCATTTAGAGTCCAAATCTAGCCTTCTTTCGATGGCGGTGAACGAGAGCATTTATTCCATTTCCAAGTTTATTGATAACATTAGCCGTTACAATAGATTCTGCAGGCATTTACTCTGAAAATATAAAATTATTTGACTATGACAAAAAATATAAAATCTAGATAAGGTCCGATATCGTTGTTGCTAAGCAACTCTCGTAAAGGTCGTTCAGGATGAGTGACTAAAAATTTTATTTCTAGCTACTCCATGCTTCAGAATGTTTTTCGGAATGAATTTATATTTAGTTTAACATACGAACTGCTTTTATATCCATTTTTTATTAGTTACAGTTTCTTTTCTTTACCATTTATACCACAATATAAATCCATTCTCAAGCTAGTCAGCCTTTTATTATTTGCCCAAGCATCGAACCCGTCACAAAATTATGTCTTCCTTGGTAGCTTTGATCACCTTGGTTATTTTTCTGTGCATGCCAGCAGTTCTTTTAAACATGGCCAGTCTCTCCACAGAAAAAGCATTGCGCTTTAGTTTTAGTAGCAAATGCACTATTTTTATTGTTTGGTTCGGTTGTAGTCATATTCTTCTCTTCTAATTTAGACTGTACGTA